GTCCCTGGTACGGGCGCGGTGCTAGCGCCTGGAAGCTCACCGAGTCGTTCACCTGAGGCTTAAGCCTACTGCGTTAATGCGTTTGCTAAATAGGACATTTTGTTTAAAAAAAGACTGACAAAGTTGCTTTGTTTAAAAAAAAACAAAACACACTAAACTGGAAGAATAAAACTAGAAGGGAAGTGGGTCCGGTATCTTAGGCAGGCCTCACCTGGACTCCAAATCAACTATAGTTAAACTACTGAACCATCTTTGGCCTTTGGTTATTTTTTCAACTTACTTTGACAAATTAGGGTAAAAACTACTTTGGGAATGCTGGTCCTTTACCTATAGGAAAGCTCTTAGATAGATTTGGACACTAAACTATAGTTAGACTCCAGGTTTTACTTAAAATGGCGTTTGCAAAAGTTGACAGATATTTATGGGTGTACATACTCTGGTTTGGATCTAAATGTGATTTGCTCAGATATGTAACTCAGATGTGGCAACCTGGAACTTTAAGGCCATTAGCTTAACAAACAAATAAACAAACAAAACAGTCCTCCCCCACCAGTCTTTGTCTAAACAGTCAAAATCTTAACAGAAATTAGTTACAAATAGCTATGTTTTAAAGAATTAATCGGGTACTGAAGTTTCTCATAAAAATTTTCTGAACTGCAGTGTTACACTTACTTGGTAATACCTGCGTGATGGGATACATTAATCCTGAAAATGCCGCCTTTTCCTCTTTTCCCCAAAAAGTTGACCATGTGTTTTGGTTAGAAAGAGACTAATGATTTATAGTGTGGCTTAGTAGTACACCTTCTTGCTAACTGGCCAGAAGATGAGGAAGAGGAGGTTGCGTTCACAGTCTGAGCTGTCATTTTGCGAATACTTCATGCTTGAGCAGACTCTGTGTCTTTCCGCTAGGAGCAGCCGTGTTCCCCTGCTCTGGCACTCGGCACAGCACGTGGGGCGGCATCAGAGGAGCTTCTCCTTCACGTTTCTCACGATATGATGGCAGCAAAAGTCCCCTTGGCACGAGCTGATCCAGTCAGAATAGTTTTCTCTCAGTGGCTGCTTGCCTGCAAGGGAGTTTGGTAGCATAACGATCCCACTAGAAAATAATTTTGCGACAGTAGCAAAATTCTAAGCCAGGCGTTAGGTGGGAGCTTCCGCCTTTTGCCTGTGGGCAAGCCTGCTGACTTCGTGAGGCTTGTGTCCAAGGGAATACGTACAGCGTTAGCCGCTTGGCTCGGAGGGGTTCTAGAAAGGCTCAAGAGTCGAGGTAACAGGACGGGGTGGCAGACATGCTTTAGTGCAGCAGTAGTTGCGCATCAGTGCTGTGGGTTGGAAGGAGGTGTGAAATCGTTCCTCTGTACTCCGTGATCTTTTCCAACTTAAATGATTCTATGATTCTATTTGTGGTTTGACCAAAAGATAACTGCTGGGGGAGGGAGGGGAGGGCAGGGCATGTACAGGAGTCAAAATAAGTGGCTCAAGTCCATCAAGCAAATGTTGATTGTAGTACAAGAAACAGTGAGACTGCAGACAGTGCTGTGATACCTGATATACCTGGAATACGATAGCTGACTTTGGGCTGTGTTAGTGATATGAAGGAGAAAACAAATGAAAGGTTGGGGGGAACAGTAAGTACGTTAGCAAGTGAGGGGAGAAATATTGTGAGATCTTGAGCATCCAGGCAACTCAGAATTAAATTTTCACGTATAAAACAGTAATAACAGTGAGTACTATGAAAATGCACAGTTGAAATCCAAAGAAATTTAACTTGCAGTGACATCGTGTAATAACTGTTTGCTTTAAGTATTTGGTATGTATTCTGTTTCAATTAAACAGTTTTTAACGCACAGTTCTTTCCAAAGTAATATCTGCAATGTAGTTAGGTGTCTAGCATAATTTGAAAAATGTTGTCAAACTTAAGTAATTTAAGCAATAGGATTTCTCAGGCCTTGTTTGTCTCTACACCAATTACTTAAGCTGGTTTTACACTGGGCGTCAGTCTTCAAATCAGTCAAAACTTAGGGGCAACTCAGTCAATTCACTTTTTCTTTTGTTGTTCACTGGTTTAAAAAAATCAGAATTTAAAAATCAAGAGAGAATAAAGCCTTAAGTTTTGAGTTTCAGTCAAGGTGTCCTTTCATACTTACCCCAGCATTAAAAATAAAAGCAGTAAGCCATAACCTACCTCTTGAGTGTTCTTGACACATTGGCTGCTCTCTCATACTACTAACTCTTCAGAAATCTCTGCGAGATGGGCGATTAGTTAATTACTTCCAAAATTGTAGATGCTACATATGAATCGTCTTCTTGGGGATTCTGCCCATAAGCTGTATAATCATACTCTTCAATAAACTTTTTCTTGATCACTTCGAAACCAAAAGTTATACATAAATGTAAATACTACATAGGAGTTCAGTGGGTTTTAACTAAGGGAATTTGGATGACTGGTTATTCTGGGGTTCTTTGTAATTTGTGGTACTTCTTAAGAAAATTGGAGACAAAAAAATATTGATGCTGATTTTCTTGTTTCTGTGTTTTCTTGTGATCCACCTGTTGTTTTCTGCCATATGCTCTCTGGAGGTACAGGCTGTGTTTTATTCATTTACTGACTCCTGGTTTAGAATTTCTAGGCACAAAAGGATAAAACCCCAGAAATGTGTGTGGTTCTCTCATGTAGTTTCACAGAAAGCTTGTTCTCTGAGCAATTCTTATCAATTTGTCACTTATAACACATTTTGTGTACAGAACAGGATTGTGACTTCAAAGTACAAACCTTTTTTGCCTTTAAGTAGATGGCTTTGGACTATGCCTCTGACAACTCTGTGATAAGATTTGAAAAATGTTGTCAAACTTAAGTAATTTAAGCAATAGGATTTCTCAGGCCTTGTTTGTCTCTACACCAATTACTTAAGCTGGTTTTACACTGGGCGTCAGTCTTCAAATCAGTCAAAACTTAGGGGCAACTCAGTCAATTCACTTTTTCTTTTGTTGTTCACTGGTTTAAAAAAATCAGAATTTAAAAATCAAGAGAGAATAAAGCCTTAAGTTTTGAGTTTCAGTCAAGGTGTCCTTTCATACTTACCCCAGCATTAAAAATAAAAGCAGTAAGCCATAACCTACCTCTTGAGTGTTCTTGACACATTGGCTGCTCTCTCATACTACTAACTTTTCAGAAATCTCTGCGAGATGGGCGATTAGTTAATTACTTCCAAAATTGTAGATGCTACATATGAATTGTCTTCTTGGGGATTCTGCCCATAAGCTGTATAATCATACTCTTCAATAAACTTTTTCTTGATCACTTCGAAACCAAAAGTTATACATAAATGTAAATACTACATAGGATTTCAGTGGGTTTTAACTAAGGGAATTTTGATGACTGGTTATTCTGGGGTTCTTTGTAATTTGTGGTACTTAAGAAAATTGGAGACAAAAAAATATTGATGCTGATTTTCTTGTTTCTGTGTTTTCTTCTGATCCACCTATTGTTTTCTGCCATATGCTCTCTGGAGGTATAGGCTGTGTTTTATTCATTTACTGACTCCTGGTTTAGAATTTCTAGGCACAAAAGGATAAAACCCCAGAAATGTGTGTGGTTCTCTCATGTAGTTTCACAGAAAGCTTGTTCTCTGAGCAATTCTTATCAATTTGTCACTTATAACACATTTTGTGTACAGAACAGGATTGTGACTTCAAAGTACAAACCTTTTTTGCCTTTAAGTAGATGGCTTTGGACTATGCCTCTGACAACTCTGTGATAAGTAGAAAAGTATATAAATACAGTGAAATAGAGGTTTTCAATGAAATAGAATTTCCGCAATAACTTTTTTGTTTCTAATGATAGCAATAAATAGTATTGTCTATGTGTAAATTCAGTAAGATTAAACACCAATAGGATTACAGTGATCCTTGTGTTTCAAGACTGAGTTCAGACCAGGAAGAAGCTTATCCCATAAAATAGTAATGATCTCCAGTGAGATCTGCCTAGACACATTTTCTTACAAAATTCTCCCTAAAAATATTACTCTCTGTTCCTATACTATATTAAAAGGAAAAGCATGTCAGTTAAATGGATCTGAGTAGGGGGACCTTGTGTTCTAAATACAGTATTTATCCCGATCTTTTTGTTTGTTTTTGTGGGGGGAAAAAAGTGGCTTGGAGGGGTGAAAATTAAGGCTTTGACTGTACATTAAGAAGAGTCTCTGAAGATGTTGCCAGATTAGTTGATGCATCTGTATGTCCACTCCTCTTCTGTGAAATGGAGATAATGTTAATATCGTTTTTCATGATCTACTGTGGGTTAAGCTTGTTAACTGCTTATGGAGGTTTTTTGGTAAATGCTGTAGCTATTTGACTACTAAAAAGAAGTCTTGCAAAGCATGCTGAAAGGATTAGTATGAAGTGAGAACTTACCAAATGTAATGGTGAAGTAGAACAATGTTTTAAAACTATTAAAATATTTTGGAAGGTAATGGGTATCACAGGAATATTTGGAATACCCCTAGATATCCAAAATAGATACCTAATGAGTGGGTTTTTTGGAAAAACTGCACAGGCCAGGTTGGGTTTACCTTTTCCTTGTGTTTAAATTGTTAAATCAGATTTATACAAAACCCATTTTATATTGGTTTTAATAATGACCCCAACTTGAATGACCTTAAATAACACACTTGATCTTTACTATGTGTTTTTTAATGTAGATGTTAAACTCCTTGGCGAGAAAGGATGTGTCATGTTTATGCTGTGCATAATTAAAAGGAATTATTTGCCACTAACACTTCTTCTAATTCTTTTTCCAGGATTTCCGTGATTCTGGACCAGTGTTACTGAAATGATATTACAGAAGGCCGCAATTGCATTGTGTTTGTTGGATGAAACCCAAATATTTATTTTCAGTCAAGTGGGTAAAACCCCCTAACTGCAGTTTACATGTGTAGGTCACTGCGTTACTGTGTTAGTCATTGTCTCTATGCAGCAATGACAAGGCTAGAAGAAGCAAACAGAGAAGTGAACATGCATTCATCAGTCAGATACCTTGGCTATCTTGCCAGAATCAACTTACTGGTTGCCATTTGCATGGGCCTTTATGTCAGATGGGAAAAAACTGCGGACGCGCTGATTTTGGTTATATTTATTCTGGGGCTCTTTGTTCTTGGAATTGCCAGCATACTGTACTACTATTTTTCAATGGAAACAGCAAGTCTGAGTCTCTCCAATCTTTGGTTTGGTTTTTTGCTTGGCCTTCTCTGTTTTCTTAATAATTCTGCCTTCAAAACGGATGTGAAAGAAGAAGCTACTAAATATTTGCTCCTTTCTGCCATTGTTTTAAGGATATTATGTGCTTTGGTTGAGAGGATTTGTGGTTGTATTCATCATCGACCGACTCTGCTGACAACAGTTGAATTTTTGGAGCTAGTTGGATTTGCAATTGCCAGCACAACTATGCTGGTAGAAAAATCTATGAGTATTATTCTGTTGGTCCTGGCTTTGGCTATGTTGATTATTGACTTACGTATGAAGTCTTTTTTGGCAATTCCAAATTTGGCAATTTTTGGAGCCATTGCATCCTTACTCTTTTTTCCATCACTGCAAATCCCCACAAACCCATTTGCCTTGGCATGTTTCTTCAGCTGCCTGATTTCAGATCCCCTGCTCGACGTTTACTTCAGTGGACTTTCAGTTACTGAACGATGGAAGCCCTACTTGTACCGTGGCAAAATTTGCAGGCGTCTTTCTGTCATCTCAGTTGGAGTCATTGAACTAATCTTTTTCATTCTTGCAGCCTTTAAACTACGTGATTTGGATCTCTGGTATTTTGTGATACCTGGTTTTTCTATTTTTGGAATTTTCTGGATGATTTGTCACATCATTTTTTTTATAACTCTTTGGGGTTTTCACACAAAACTAAATGACTGTCACAAGGTATACTATACCCACTGCGCAGAAAACAACAGCCTTGACAGAGTTATGGCATCTAAAGGAATGCGTCACTTCTGTTTAATTTCGCAACAGCTAGTATTTTTCAGTCTTGTCGCGACTGCTGTTTTGGGGGCCGTTTCTTGGCAGGTAAGTAATAATTTCTGTATCTTCGTCTCCCTGTTGAGAATGCTCCTGAGAACTGCTGACTACTCCTTAAAATTCATGTGACATTTGTTGATGTGCTGTGGCTCAGCAATTTGATGTTGGAACACTTGCTTTCGCCAGCGTGCTCTTCAAATTTAACGCTTTGTGCTGCTTTAAGGGAGCTAGATCTCACCAGCTTCCTTATATGGGCAGAATAGGAACAGTTAATGCTTCCAGGGCAAAAGTGTGCGAAGTATTTTTAAGTTTACCAGCTTATGAAGTTACTTTGCTTTTGAATTCATTGTGCCATAAAATTTGTTTTCAAACTAAATCACAGTGTTGAACCCCAGCAGCACACGCTTTTCTTATGGACTATTTTAATTGAATCAAGGAAAATTTGCGGTTTAAGAATGTATTTTTCAATATTTTTGCTTTGCATTTAACCATTAATGTGGAGCTAGAGATCAGCTTATAAACTGGCAAATTGTTGCTATAGCATGTGCTCTAAGTATCTTATTTTCAAATCTGGTTACACGCCACAGGATATGTCCTCTGAAAGACCAGGCCTCAAAATGGCACAGCGTTCTTTGACTTCTCTTTCTGTTTCTGAATTAAGGATGTTGTCTTTTCTTTAGCAGAAAACATACATTTCTCTCAAAATGTTTGTTCAGTGCCCAAGTTAAAGTACATTGTGTGTTGTCACAGTTGCAGCAGGGTGAAAAGAGAATTTAGTATCTGTTTTCTTTTTTCAGTTGATCTAAAAAGCCCCACAGTCTTTTCTTTTACGCATGCATCTCTTAAATGAATCCTATATATGTATTATAATTATATATTATTTAAGGCAGATCCAGTTTATGGAAATGTCTTTATAGTGTTTCCAAAACAATTTGCTGCCCATTCCTGCAGATTTTCTTAGGTTAAATAACCTCGTGGATGAAAGGTGTTCAAGAACTTGGTGGAAAAGGAAATTGACAGTTATTTTGTGAAGTTTTGTGTGTTAGTGTTTTTGTTTGATTTGGTTTCACTTTTGTATTTTGGGGGTGGGTTTTTTTGGTGGGGTTTTGGCGTTTTTTTTGTTTTGGTTTGGTTTTTTGCATGAAGAGTATTAGAGATTAACAGATGAGCCTGGATAGTTTCGCGCTTTCTTTGTAAAAGTATCAGTATGCAAAGCTGTAGCGTGTGGTCTTGCAGAAAGGACAAAAGGAAGAAATAGAACCAAAAATGAGTAGAGAAGAAAAATCCCCCAAAATCTATTTACAGAAAGTGAAGGTGCTATTGCACTGAAAGAAATGAGAAAGTGGTTTGGGAGACAGAAACAATAGAGATGGAATGTCGGCATGCTAATATTTGGCTGAGGGGAGACCTTATTCCTCTCTACAACTACCTGAAAGGAGGTTGTAGCGAGGTGGGTTTTGGTCCCTTCTCCCAGGTAACGGGCGATAGGACGAGAGGAAATTGCCCCAAGTTGCGCCAGGGGAGGTTTAGACTGGAGGTTAGGCAAAATTTCTTTACTGCAAGAGTGATCAAGCATTGGAACAGGCTGCCCAGGGAGGTAGTGGAGTCACCATCCCTGGAGGTGTTCAAAAAACGTGTAGATGTGGCGCTTCGGGGAGATGGTTAAGTAGGTAGTGTTGGGTTGATGGCTGGACTTTTCCGACCTTAATGATTCTATAATACTGTGATTCTATTTCTCACTTGCATACTTTTTCATCTGAGACTTGTGTGATTTTATCAAAATGCGAGTCTTCAGTTTTTGCATGCTAGATGACTATTTTTTCAGCAAAAGCAATTTTTTACCACCTCTATCAGATAGTAATTTCTCTATCCTTGCCCTCCTCCTTTAGCATCATGTTAGTTAATAATTACATAGTTTTAAAGTTACTTGGATGGAGTTACTCCACCTAGTTACACCTAACAAAGCAGTCACAACAAATGAAGCGCGTAAGTTGTCCAGATGGTCCCTGGAAAGAGGCAGTTTCTTTTGCTGACGTCCTAAGCCTGTCTGCAGGGAGTTAACCACCAGGCTTGGGCAGGATCTCCTGCTGTAGCCCTTCAGGGGAAGGGCCCCCTTGCCCCACACTATCTGTTTGAAGCACACAGGCGCTTCCTTTAGAACTGCTTTATTACTGCAGGCTGTCTGCCTAAGCAAAGGAGAACTGGATTCATACTCATCTTGCTACTTTTTTCTCATCACAATGATTGATAATTCATTGTAATTTTTTTCTCTCTCTGTCCTCTGCCCCAAAATAACTGCAGCTGTTACACACCTGACAATTTTTGGGCCTCTCTAATTCTGCAGAAGTGCTGTTGTACTGTGGAATGACTTGTGCAGTACTGCTCACAAGAAGCAAACTGGCAACTCGTCTAAAATTTTAATATTTGTTATTGGCTAACTTCAGTTTGTAGCGTCCTGTGTGTAAACAAGATAAGCTGTTGCTCATCTCCTCTGTCTGATAGGTTGCGTATTTGCCTATGCAGTGGGAAGAGAAGTAATTGTAGTGGCAAAAGGGAAAGGCATCAGACCAAATAGTTCTGCTGGTCAGGAAATCCATTTTTTTCTTATTTTTAGTACATAATTACATTTAGATTTATTTTACTATATTTATATTTCTTTCATCATGTATTTATAGTAATGAATTAGCTTCAGATTATGAATGCAATTATGTCTCCAACTAAAAGAATTTCTACTTCAGAAGATGTTGTGATGTTTGCCTTGCAGATCACTGTGCCTATTCCATCTGTTGTCAGAAAATTAAATACTTTATCAGACCTGGCCAGAACATAATTTAATAAATGGATGTATCATTTATTATAGTGACTGTATGAAACTGTGGCCTTTTCTGTATTTTTCTGGCTAGCCTAAGGTTTCACAATAATTAGAAGTAAGAAAGCAATGATGCATAAGCACATAATTTACCCTATTGCAGGGCATTTGTTTTTTTCTAGAAGTTTAAGGAAACTAGTATTTTTTCTTCTTTGTAGGGGGAATTCAAGGCCTCAAGACTCTACTTTAGAATCCTTTGCTGGATTTTTGAGTCTGCTGTTTCAGGAGGTCTAACAAGCTCAACAGTAATGTAGAAAACAAGCTTCTCCAGTGAATATGTACTTTAATTATGGTGATTTATGTGTATTGTAACAGTTAAAGAAAAAAATCAGACTGTTGAAGAACACTCTCTGCCTTTCCTCTTTAAAAATAGTTATTGCTAAATACTTAGCAGGTTGGGATTTCAGGGGTTTCTTTGGGTTTGTTTTGTTTTTAAGAAAACTTTGCTGCATAAAAAAGCTAATGACATCACTATGTGGTAGAAAGAGATCTTAGGGCTGTGTTAGATGCCTTTCCATCAAAACATCAGCTTAATGTTTATTAGTGGTCAAAAAAGCAAATTTAATGCTGCGAATTATTAGAAGGGACTCGGAGGTATCATTATGCCACTGTATAAATCCCTGGCTTCCACATTTTGAGTAACAGTGCAGTTCTTTCTTGCCATCCTGTAGGTTAAGAAAACAAGCGAAGGTTCAGAGAAGGGCAACAAAATTCATTATAGACATGAAACAGTTTACATGGAGGGAATGAATAAACAAGAATGCTTGAGTCAGGAAAAGAGAAAACTAAGTGAGAGTGTGATGAACATATACCATCATATATGTGATGTAGGAGAAGGTAAACAGTAAGAGACAATAAACAATCGGTTCCAGTGCAAAATTGAGGGGAATCAAGTTGGCAAGAAGCAGGCTCGAGCCAGATGGATGGGAATACTTCCTCGTAGAGCGTGGAGTTAGCTCGGGGGCTGTGTACCATGGCATGCTGTGTGTGCCGAGCAGTTGCAGAGGCTCAGGAGGAAGCTGGACAAGTTCATGGAAATAATCTCACTGAGGTTTATGTACTATATGGAAATCACATCTGGCTCAGGAAGTCCTTGAGCCACCGGTGGTTGGAATACTCAGGAAGCATACGTGCTTGGTCTGTCCTTACAGTCTTTCCTAGGCATCCATTTGGCCTCTAGTTGGAGACAAGACATTCTTCTAGATGGACTTTTGGTGCAACCTAATGCAGCCACTCTTACATTCTTATATTACGGATTTTTTTTTTTTTTTTTACTTAAATGTTCAACATATTTTTCCTTATATCCTTAGGAATGCCAAATGTTCCTTAGTCACCAGTTCCTGAAAATGTGTTTGCACTTTTTAAAATTGCTTAAAACTTTTTTCATATATGTGAGATTAACAGTTTTCAGTCTTTGCAACTTGCAGTTTGCAATTTCTGTTGTCATTTTAGTAAGTGCTAATTATATTTGAAATCTGTTAAGTGTCACCTAGAAGGTGAAGCATTTTTTATTGATACCTTTCTTCACTCTGAAGATGTACTGAAAACTTGTTTATTGTTACTGCATTTGATAAGAGAGGTGGCTTAAAATGGCTTCATGGTCTGCTATTTGATCTCCTATATAATGAATAGAATCAGTTAGAACCCTAAGCTTTGGAAAGGTACTTTCTAACAATCAACTGTAAGTAATTAGCTCTAGCGTATAAAAAGTCTAGCTCAGCCCTGTGTGTTAGCTGATAGCCAGAATGAGGTAGCGGAGGGGAGGGGTTCTGTTTCATGGAAGACTTTGTTACAGGCACATTACATTTGCCCTTTTAATGTTTTTAAAAACTGTAATATCTGTGCATCATATAAATCTCAAGTGCATGAAAGGTCAAGACCTAAAAGTTGGTTGTCTGCTAATTGGTGGCTAGAAGTATCCTATTTGATTAAATTGCCAGAAAAATATCAAATCTCCCTTTGCAGACAGGCTTTTAAAGTGAGGTTAGTTAACCCACCGTTGCACACACAGTGGTTTTCTGACTCATGCAGAACTGTTGAGGCTGGAAGTCCCCTTAGCCAAGGACCTTTCTTTCAGGGGAACTTGGCCCTTGTAATAAGCCAAGGGTTGAAAGTGTCTGCTGCTGATGCTTTGGTATGTGCTTGGGAAGAACTGTGGCTCCTGAAAGCAGAATCTCTC